GGACAGCTGAACACATCACAGGCACGGCTGAGCCAGAGCTTTGGAGCCCTGGAACAGCTCTGGCCTTGGGCTGCCAGAGTCCTCCTGCTCCCTGGAAACCTCAGCCCGGGCTCAGGAGGGATTTCCTTTCCCAGCTCTTACCAGAGGAGGGTTATCTGCTCAGCAAAGGGAAAGAGCAGCCCTAACTCCATCTCTAGCTAATAAAGAATTCTCTTGTTGTACATGCAAATGTTCCATGTGAAGCTGCTGCAGTCCAAAGCACAGGTAGGCAAGATGTGTCACGGGAGCTTTAAAAGAATATTATATAATAGTCTATAAAAAAACATTAATAGGAATGGCATAACAGGGAGCAGTTTAAATCATCCTCAGCTTTGGTGGTGGGGCAAGAATACTCTGATTTAACACATGGTGTTATAGCAGAATATTCTGTAAGAAACATCAATAGGATTGGCATAAGAGGGAGCAGTTTAAATCATCCCCATCTTTGGGGATGGGGCAAGGATGGCCACGTGTTATATCAGAATATTCTATAGAAAACATGAATAGGATTGGCATAACAGGGAGCATTTTAAATCACCTCCATCCAAGGATGGCCAAGTGTTATAGCAGAATATTCTATAAAGAACATGAATAGGAATGGCATAACAGGGAGCAGTTTAAATCACCCCCATCCAAGGATGGCCATGTGGGAATGGCTCATGGCTGCAGCCTGGGAGATTAAACCTCTCCAGTTTGTTCCTCACCTGCCCTGTTAGCATGGCACAGTTACTTTTATCTCTTTGCCAACACTGCCAAATCAATGTCAGGGAGGTGCCAGCCACTAAATGAATGGTAAATATGCCTGGGCTTTAGGTTTAAGATGACAAAAGAGGCAAAATTATAATGATTTTATCATCACAGAATCATCTTCAAACACAGAGACAATGAGATATCTGAAATCCAGGTGTATCCTATGTATTTCAGTCCCTGTACCTGCGAGGGTTTAACTTTTCAAGGTGTTTTTGTGTGTTGGTCTGTACATGAAGTCACAGCTTGCGTGGATTAAAGAGGTGTGTGAGGAGGAGGAGAGATCTCGATCTGCTGAGTTTATCAAACAGCCAAGACAAGAAGCAAAATGTCCTGAGTAGGAGCCCATCTGGGCACAGTGTGGTTTCTCTCCTGAGCTTTCTTTTGCTCTGCTTTGTTTTGCAGTTTGCCCAGCTGGTGTCTGTCTACAAAACTTTGGGCCCAGAGAAGTTCCCTCTGATCGAGCAGACGTTCTACCCAAACCACAAGGAGATGGTAGGTGCAAACAGCACTGCTAAACCTGCTTTCTGTGCCTGTAAAACAGGGTCTGGGACACACAATTCCCTTTTCCCATTTACTGCCTACTCCAAAAGCCATTTTGGCAGCTTTCAGAGAGGTGGGACAGGGTGAGCACTTGAAATCGCTGTGATGGTGAGCTGGAGGGTGCTCAGATGGGACTGTGGTCATTTTCAGTGGTCATTTTTCAGCTGCCCAGCTGCAGATCTCAGAGAGATTAAATGCTTGCAAAGACACTGAACAGCTCTGACAGTGTAGGAGTCACTTTCACGGTTTGTTTTCCCTCCAGTCCTTTCTGGTGCACTCGCAGTGTTTGTTGTCTTTGGAGGTGATGCACTGGGCACCGCAGAGCTTTGAATTTAGCCAAAATCAGTGGTTGTGACTTGTGATCTTCAGGTACCTGAGCTAACACTGATTCCCAGTGCTTTACAGACAGAAGAAGAACACAGATGAGACTGACAGTCCAAGGAACACCTGGATGATGGTTTTAAGGTGTAGTTCAGTTTTAGGCAGCAGTGAGAAGGGTGTGGGACACAATGACCCTTAAAAGATCCTACAAACTTGAGATTTGCTGTAATTTTTTTTTTTAACAGGACTTTTGGGTGCATTGCTAAACTGCAGTTCATAGGAAAAAAGAACATTTGATTTCGGGGCAAGAACTAATGTGGCAGACTGATAAGTTTATATGGCATATTTTTCTGAGTGTAGCAACCCTGTGATTGGTTTTGCCTGTCTTCATTCCTCTGCATTGCTCATTAAAGCCAAGTAATATTTTTTTACATATTTATATGGTAATGAATGTTAATCTAGAGAAAATGAACTGTTTGGGTATTGCATTGCCACTCAGAACTGCTGCAATAGCTGCCTGTGATGACACTCATTTGTTTGGTTTTATTCCTCCTGAAGAAAGCATCTGGAACTTTGTGGCTTGGGAAATAATCAGGCAATGTGGTACAAGACAACATTTTGTTTGAATTTCTGGAGTGGGTTGTAAGATGATCTGGAAATCAGAGTCTTCTGATGCTGCACTGAAACCATATCATGTCATTTTGTTTTGGATTTTCAACACTTTATCAACAACTGGTATCACTGGTATTTGTTGATGCAGATTTTGGCAATTACAGTTTAAAATTTTTTTTGTGTTACTCTTGATTTTTTTCCTTCCCTTTTTGTTCTCCAAATGGGAACCTGGAGCTGTCCCCCACTCCAGTGCAAACCAGTTCAGGGGGAACATGGGGAGAAGGAAAAAAACCAAATCTCTGGGAATTAAGGCTCAGCTGAGAGTGCCAGAGGTGCTCCCTTCATCCTCTGCTGATCATTTGTGCTGAGGCTTTAGGCAATACAAGGTAAATAAAAAAAGATGCCATTCTTTTGTGTAAAAATGGAGCTGCTTTAATGAAACACGTTTTGAAACAGAAACATTCATCCCAGACTTTTTTTGATGACAAAAAACACTGTGAGGCTTTTGAACTCCTTGCTGGCTGAGTCATATCTACAACTTTTCACTCAGTAATTAGTTCCCTTTATTTCACTGCATTCCCACCTCTTCTGTTCTCTGCAAAAACAACACAGCTTCTCCAACGTAATTGCTGAACAATTTAATTAAAATCTAAGTGGAACGTTGAGGAAACACAAGCAATGTTCCAGGTGGTGATTTTTTCCCTTTTCACCAGTACAATCTCCCTTTTTTCTTCTTTTCCCTATTCTCACCAAAAGTCATGTAAGCCATTTTCAAATTAAAGTCAAATGTTGTGCCAGGCTGTATTTCTGCTCTCCCTCTCATGTAACACAAACACAGTTTCAAGAAGCAAAAAGAAAATGTTGTAAAAAGAATCTGCTGTTGATAAGGTATCAATGCCACTACAGTAAAAATCCTGATATTAAAATAACATATACAGAGTAACTCGTTGTAGTCAAGCCTTTTGAGAATCTTCCTTGGGGAAAATAAAATCTCATTATGAGCTGGGTTTTTTTAAAGCTTTTCTTGCCACATTTATTGATATGAGGGAAAAAACTAAATCTTTGTACCATCCATTGTGGGAAGTTAGGGCAGATTTCTGCTTGCTCAGCCAGAAATCAAAGTAGACAGACCTTCATTGTGAAACACCTCCATGAGGGATATTTCATAACAGGAAAAATAGGAAATTTTTAAAAACTTATTGTGGCACACAATTTGTATTACAATCTGTCCCTAAATACCAGAGAAAGCATTTCTTTGTGCAAGGTGCACAGAGAAGGCAATCTGGGCTGGGTGAGTTGAGGTTCAGGTCTAATTACTGTAAAACTGAAATAGGACCAGAGCTCTGGGGAGCTAAAAAGCAGAAAATACCTGTTTGCTGATATCCAAAAGGCACCAGCCCTTCAAAATGGACTTGGAGACAAATGCTACAGGACTGGGATTGAATATTAAACCACAGAATATTAACCTTTGTGGTTATTGAGCTCTGTGGGCTTCTCCAGGTATTGGTTTGATCTGACACAAGGAAATGAGGCCTGGCTTTGAATCTTTCTGGAAATTAATAATATAAATGTACAGCACTGTCAGTAAATAGCTCTGCCAATACTGTCACTGCAATATCAATTCTTTTTCATAAGAAATTTAGCTTTTTATTCTTTTTGTTTCATTAATATAAGTCTATGGTCCAAATTGTTCGTGTTGGGAAATTTTTGTTTTGTCTTGAGTAAAGCAGAAAACAAACTGGGCTTTACATTTGGCAGCACATAGATATGGCTTTAATTCAGGGTTGTAAATTAAAAGAGCCAGACTGATTTATGGTAAATAAAAAGTGAAACATTGGCTTTTATGTATTATGGGACACATGTTCCTCAAAGGAATAATGACGTTTTCCTGTTGGCCTTGCACCATTGGCATTTCACTGGAAATGTATGAACTTAGTCACAGGAAAAGTAAATCTTGTTTAGAAGAGCGTTTCCAATCCTATCCTTTAGATAGTAAAATCTGTCAGAAAAGGCAGCTACTGGAGATTCCCATCCTGCCTGAGGGCTCTGCCCCTTTTTTCTGGGGCACAAATAGTCTGAACTTTGGCATTTGCACTTCCCAAAGTTTCACCACTGTGAATTGAATTGCTTTTATAACCTTAAATACATGTGTGAAGGATTAACTCCAGTCATCAATTCAGGAAAGTTATGGCACTAAAAAGGTTACAAGCAAAATGTGCTGTAACTCTTCTCTAGTTTGAGTTCACAATGAGCCAAATTCACTTACAGGGTATGGTGGGTGTTCATGAATGAAAACCAGTTAAATTATATTAAATAGGGTCAAATGTCTGAGAGCTTCCAGAAATCACTGCAGTGTAAGTCATGCAATATTTATTGCATGTGTTTTCAGGTGAGTTTCTAAAGTTTTAACAGTGCTGGGGTGCAAGTACTGGTCATGTATTTAGGGAGGTTTTTACTGCAGCTGCCCTGAGGATGGACATTATTCTTGTAGCTCTGAGCAGTTTTAGCCTGTCATCATTTGGGCTTGGAATTTGTTCCATGGAAAGCCTAAATCCATGGAATAATGCTTTAGCCCATGGATTAAAAATCTGTTTTTTCCTCCAGCAAGGTGTGGTTAGTCCATAGGAATGGTGACTTGGGAAGGGGGTTTTGATTATCGGGGCTGTTTCTTAATTTAATTATCAATGGAAGTTACAACTCTGTGGTAAAGGAAGCTGTGACATAAGGAAAGTACAAAGTGTGGAGCACAGATTGTTTTAATCACAGAAGTGTTCAACTCATCTCGACAGGTGAGGAAATATTTGTGAATTTTTTTTTAATAGCACATTGTTATAATACTTTACATATACACTGTACAATAATTCTTTCATATCCAAGACTTTCATACAGAAAAAAAAAATAGTTCTATAAAACATTCCGTAGTTCATCGGAAAGATTTGGAACAAAACACGGGGAGCTCTTAATCTGCAGGTTATCAAAAACGTGGTGGGGGGCAAAATTTGGGCAAAATTTGTTCTTGTACATTCATATTGGCAAAAAGGGAATTTGCTGTGCCTCGGAGGACGTTGCCGGCCCTCTGTGCAAAGCAGGGCAGAGCAGAGCAGGTGCCTGCAGGAGGTTTGTCCCTCGTCCTGCACCAGCGGCGGCCCCACGGAGCCTTTGGGGACAACCAGCGCTGGCTTCGAGGCGAGGCACGCGGCGGCTCTGCGGGGCGGCGTGGATGGAGCCTCCTGGGCGCTGGCTTTGGGAGCAGCAGCGCTCAGGGCTCGCTGATGTCCATGAACTCCTTCTCGGGGGGAGGACCCCCCCGGTACCAGCTGCAGGTGCCGTCGCTCCTCTTGATGCAGGCGTAGTGCCGGGCCTGGTGCCCGTAGAGCCGCCGCTCGATCAGCCAGTCCGTCCACAGGCACTCGTTGGGCGCCGTGATGGAGCAGGGCACCATGTAGCACGTGGTGATCTGGGGAGAGAGCTCCTTCAGCGCCTCGGGCCCGCTGGGCTGATCCCCCAGAACCTGCCCAGCGGGGCTCAGGCACCGTTATCTGCTCTGCACTCGCCTGGCAGCTTCCTCTGAACCGGGGTGTATTGCCAAAAATGTGAATGAACGGTGTCTATTCGCATTTATCCGCTCCGCACTCACATGGCAACTTCCTCTGAGCTTCGGCTTATTCTCAAAAATGTGAATTGACAGTGTTTATTCACATTTATCCGCTCTGCAGTCAACCTTGCAGCTTCCTCTGAACTGGGGTTTATTCTCAAAAATGCAAATAAACCGTGTTTATTTACATTTATCTGCTCTGCGCTCACCTTGCAGCTTCCTCTGAACTGGGGTTTATTCTCAAAAATGCAAATAAACCATGTTTATTTACATTTATCTGCTCTGCACTCACCTTGCAGCTTCCTCTGAACTGGGGTTTATTCTCAAAAATGTGAATTGACAGTGTTTATTCACATTTATCCGCTCTGCACTCACGGCAGCTTCCTCTGAACTGGGGTTTATTGCCAAAAATGCAAATAAATTGTGTACAAGACAACAGGCATTGTTCTGCTCTGCACACTACTTGCATCTGCCTTTTACTGGGGTTATTACCACAAATACTAATAAATGGTGCTTAGTTACATTTATCTGCTCTGCACTCACATGGCAGCTTCCTTTGAACCAGGTTTTATTGCCAAAAATGTGAATAAACGGTGCTTATTCACATTTATCCGCTCTGCACTCACATGGCAGCTTCATCTGAACTGGGGTTTATTCTCAAAAATGCAAATAAATGGTGTTTATTTACATTTATCTGCTTTGCACTCACCTTGCAGCTTTCTCTGAACTGGGGCTTATTCTCAAAAATGTGAATTAATGGTGTGCAAGACAACAGGCATTGTTCTGCTCTGCACACACCTTGCAGCTTCCTCTAAACAGGGGTTTATTCTCAAAAATGTGATTAAACATAATTAATTTGCATTTACCTGCTCTGAAATTACTCTCTGACTTGCAGCTTCTTCTGAACTGGGGTTTATTCTTAAAATGCAAGTAAACTGTGTTTATTTACATTTATCTGCTCTGCACTCACCTTGCAGCTTTCTCTGAACTGGGGCTTATTCTCAAAAATGTGAATTAATGGTGTTTATTTATATTTTTCTGCTCTGCACTCACCTTGCAGCCACAGCCCATCTGGTACCTCTGGTTCAGGCTCTTTTTCTGAGACAAGGATAAATCATCCCACGGCTCAATGTAGTTGCACAAGTGGATCAGCACTTTGCCATCATTTAAAATTTGGCCTGCAGCATGGAAAACACAAAGAAAATCAAAGCAATAAAAGTGCTTTCTAAGTGTTCTAAGTGTGAGAATAGCTTGAGCTTTTAACTAATTGCATCAAATTAGTCATACTTAAATACTTTTAAAATTAATTTAATTATAACAGAGAGAATATTCTACTAATTGCATGCTGTATGGATGTAATGAATTGAAGAAGGATATTTTCTGAAACATGTTGATAATCTGCCAGCAAGGCATGGATGCAAATGCAGTTAAACTGGATTTTATGAGGGAATAGTAAAATCTGTAGTAACTTGGAACCCCAGACCTGCAGACACACAGGTGTTTTCCCATTATGCACCTTTGCCTTCCTGGGAAAATCAGCACTGTTGGTTTGAATCAAATAATAATGGCAAATACTGAATCAAAATTCCTTCTATTTACTGATTACATCATTATTGACTTTCATTTCCTTTGGAACTGCTCTAAGAGTGCTGCAGGAAGGGTGGAAAGCATGTAAGCTCACACTATCATTACAGCTGAACACAATTTTTACATCCCGTTGTATTTGTATTTAGCACATAAATGCATTCCTTTTCAGCATATTTTAGCTAAATTCACTCTTAAGCAGCTACTTCTGAATTTCCAGGAACATTAGTTTTGCTCCATTTTACCTGTTAGAAGGTACTGCTTTTTGTTGTTGGCTTCTAGTTTCACTCCACAGAGTGATGAATCAAAAGGGGTGTAGACATACTGGACATCCTTGAGCTTTTCAAATCCTTTAAACATCTGAAAATGATCAGAAACAGAGAGTCAGTAGTGGAAAACAAGCATGAAAAAACAGTTGCAAAAAAAGAGCTGGAAGAGATACAGGCTGAGTCTCTTTAAAGACGCCTCCAAAGTCTGAATTAATGTGAGAAAACACCAAGAACTGGACTTTTTCTCTACACTTAATGAAATTCATCCAAGAGTTTTAGGAGGGAATTAAGTAGGTCTTGATTTTTTAAATTATAGCCTTTAAAATGTGCTTTTCCAGCGTATTTCATGGATTGTTAAAACTTTCTCTTCAGTTTTTATCCTAGTGGCATATTTTATTCAAGGAGCAATGCAGAGACAGCATTGCAGGCCAAAATGCAAATATTTCTCAGTGTTTTCCTATGGGAAATTTTCACTAGATCACTGGAGTTGCTGGGATCTTCTGGGACACCAAACGTGCTGAGGAGCTGAGCATTTCCCATTGTTTTCATATTTGGTCACCAAAGCAGAGTGCTTCTCCATATCCCAAATTCTCACCAGTGGGACCTTCTCAAATCATGGAAAACGTCACCCAGCCCTCAGGATTTCCACCCTGCAAGCCCCAAAATGGAGAGATTTGGGATCAAAGCTCTTTTCAGGCTGGCTGCCCCTTAACCAGCAGTTTCAACCCCAAAAAGAAATCAGAAACGAGCCATTAAAAGATGAAAACAAGCTGAGCTGTGTCCAAGCCCAGAGGGAGGGAGCAGAAGGTGCTGCTGAGTGCCTGTCATCACCTCGTGTGCCACCACCAGCCCGGTGACATCATGCCACGTGTTGACAGCTGGGGACAATGGCAGGGGCTCACAGCTCTCCCAGTTGCAGCTGGTGTCCCTGGAAAATGTGTTTGTGTTCCTCAAGCCCTCCCAGGGGATTTAAATAGCACGGGCCACTAGAAAATACTCTGTAATATGTTGGTTTTTCTGAAGCTTTATTTATGGAGGGGGGAAAAAAGCCAACGTTGTTGTCACTGCGCGGCCGATCCAAAAATATTAGCTGGGATTTGAAATGCTTTGGAGAAAAAAACAAACAGGCTCAGCCAGACCAAAACACAAAATGAACTGGCACCCTGTCCAAAGCAGCAGTGGGAATCACAGAAATTGTCCAAAATGAAGAGGGAAATTTGTGTCTGTGCAGGGCCAGCACGTGAGCTCTGCAGGTGAACTTTGCCTCAAGCTCTCTCCACCTTCAGAAACCCTCAGGGCATTGTGGGGAACAGATTTTCCATGGATATCTCAGCTTTGGCCTCAACTTTGGAGGCTTTGTGCAGACAGCACACCTTGATTTAGCTATAAGACCCCTAAATATCCACAGTAAATCATAATGGAGATTTAGTTAATATTTAAATGGGTTTAATGTTTATTTTGTTACAGGGTTTTTGGTTGCTTGGTTGGGTTTTTTTTTTAATTACTCTCTGACTTCTCTCTGGTTTTGACCTGTATAATAGTTACAGCATTTCTAAAGATTATAATTTTGCGTTTAACTCAGTAAATCACATTTAATCTTTTCAATCTTATTCTCTCTTCTCTAAAAGCATGGATATTTCTCTGCAGAGGGATAAGGTGGTTGGATTTGGTTTAATTTTGGTGGTTGGATTTTTGGTTCTGCATTGATGCGTGGTCCATGCTCACCTGAGCTCCTGGTGGGACTTTATTTGAATAGGAAAACAGGGTGAGGATTTGGGGGATAGAGAGATGAGAACCTGCTACTAAAGTCTGTATGGACACTGTCCCTGTCCTCCTGAGGGGTGGAACCAGCACCAGCACATGGCTTTACTTCAAGATTTTAGAATGAGTGTGATGACCAAGTCAGTTACAAAAATATTATAAAGAAATATTCAATTACATATAAATCACATATTAGCTTCTCTCTTTAATATAATGCTCTAAATATTGCAAGAAAAGAGTAATAGAAAACATTCATGGCTTCTTGACATGCCAACCCATTGCTATAAAATGAATAGACCCACTGTTATTTTTTTTTTATTTCTGAAAATGAATATCAAAATTAGATCCAATGTTTCCCTCTAGAATAACAACGTTTTAATGCTAAGCCTAATGCACTGGATTTAAAATGAAACAGAATTTAACCCATCACATTAATGGAGCAGCTCAACAACCCTGAGAGCAACAGAACAGAGAAATAGCAGCATTGTGCTGAATGTTACAGCCAAATATAACCTCAAGGGCTCTGTGCTCCCCTTCCAAGAGGGGAGAATTGATGAGGAAAGTGTGAGTATCTGAGTGGTCTACCCCAAAACTCACACCGAGGTGATAATTTTTGTGAATTTTTGGTGCTAATTCTTGATGTATTTTACAAAAAAAACCGAGGATATTTTCCAAAAGAGATATTTGGAGGATCAGTTCTTCCTTGCTGTGCTCTATAAAGCAAATTCTCTGCCTGTCCCCCAGCTGGGCATGCTCCCACCCTGATCACCCTGCAGGATCCTTTTGGGGGCTGCAGGCGGCAGGAAAAGCAGCAGCAGCACTTGAAAGAAGATTGGAAGCTGAGCACAGGATATCCTCACCTTCCACACACACTGTGGATGAAATTCTTTAAAATGCTGGCACCTGAGGTGAGGCGTGGTGTGCTCCAGCTGCTGCTCTGAGCCAGCTGCTCAGCAAGCTGAGGAACTGTGCAGCAGCTTCCATTTTCACCTCAGTCACATTCTTTGGATGTTTGGCTATCCCTCCCTGTCACTCCTGTGGGGTTTGCCTTGCTGGGTTTATTTTGGTGCCACCCTGGGTGCACAGAGGGTGGGCAGGTCACAGAGCTCCTGGTTTCCAGCCAAAATCCTTCCCTTCCCAAAATCCCTCCCTCCCTGGCGCAGGGAGCTGGGTGCTGGGGCAGGGGAAAGTTTGGTCCTGAATTCTCTCTGGTCAGGAGGAAGGATTTGAGGAGTGGGGGTTACCAAAACCCTTCTGTTGTTAGTCTAAACTTGTGTGTGATGTAGAGCATCTTTCTGAAAAAACACATCTCTGCTTTGTCCAGGCCTGGCTGACTTGGAATTAAATAAACACCTCTTCCTTCTGCCTGAGTTTTGAACAGGCCTCCACTGCTGAAAATTAGGGAGAAACTCCAAAGCAGCTTCAATACGCAAATATTTCAGAGAATTCAGATTGCTGAAGAATGGGATTATAGGCTGAAAATCATCACTCAGATTAGATTGCTCCTTGTTTGTGCTGAGGTAGAAGATTTGCTTTTCTCTCAAGCTCCTGATGTGCTGCAGAGTAGCAGCAGAACATTGAAGTGCCAGTGGGAGGAAAGGGAATTCTCTGGCATTGATGTACTTGTTTTTGTAAGGAAACATTTGAATATATCCTTAATATTTAAGAAGATGGAAAGTGGCATATGCTGACAGCTTTGGGGTTTGTTTTAGCAAGGAAGAGACTGGCTGGTTGAAATTACTATAAAACCTTACCAGAAGTCCCATGTGTTAACCATCCCTGTGAATACTTTGAAATATTCTTGTTTACCAAAGATTCCTCCTACTTAAACTCCTGTGAGGGAATTCTATCAGTGGATACAACTTGAATGATTGAATATTTTTTTTTGAAAGCACATAGCCATACCTAACAACCTTCTTAAGTGGTCCCAGTAAATGGAAAAGCGCAAAATTTATAAAATAATATGCAGTGAAAGAGGAGAGATGAAACTACCTTGAAAAGCAGCCCACCTCACCTGTGCACACTCACACATTTTCATTTAGAAAGATTACCTACTTCTTGTGTGTTCCAGAAAAAAAGTAAATGATCATTTAAATGTTCATCACCATGATCATTTGAACAGCAGTGAGAGTTTGATGGTGACTTCAATTGGCTCAAGACATGTCTTCTCAATTTGAATTAATGAATATATCTCCTTATTGGAGCTGAACAAGAGTGGGAGAACCCAGTGAGATTCTGAAGCTGTGGCTTTGGGTGCTTGCTTCCCCAGCAATGTTCATACAAACGGATTTTTGTTTGTGTGAATATGAGGGAAGGACTCCTGGCCCTGCAAATATCCCTGTCCACAATGAACAAAGGGCTTGCTCCCTCAGCTGGGAATGCTCCCCTGCCTTTGGAAAGCTTGCATCATGCAGAGCTGCCACACCAGCAGAGCACAGGTGATCAGGAATCCTCCAAAACCAGATGTGTTGACACCACTCACAGAATGAAGCACATTTTTGGTGCCTTCAAAATCAAAAATAACAAACTTCTTCATCAAAATGTCATGACTTAGCAAAAAATAAGTCCTGAATATCAAAAAACCACCCTCTGAATATAATTATTTAGCAAAAACCTCCTGAATATAAAAAAAAAAAAATCTCCTGAATATCATTATTTAGCAAAATTATTCATCAAAATATCATGATTTAGCAAAAACTTCCTGAATATCAAAAAACCTCCCTCTGAATATAATTATTTAGCAAAAACTTCCTGAATATAAAATAAATCTACCGAATATCATTATTTAGCAAAATTCTTCACCAAAATATCATGGCTTAGCAAAAACCTCCAGAATATCAAAAAACCACCCTCTTAATATAATTATTTAGCAAAAACCTCCTGAATATAAAAAAAAAAAAAAAATCTCCTGAATATCATTATTTAGCAAAATTCTTCATCAAAATATCATGATTTAACAAAAACCTCCTGAATATAAAAAACCCCCTACCTCCTGAATATCATTATTTAGCAAAAACCTCCCGAATATCTCTCAAGTTCCTGAAGTGCTGCAAAGTAGCAGCAGAACATTGAAGTGCCAGTGGGAGGAAAGGGAATTCTCTGGCATTGATGTACTTATTCCTGTAAGGAAACATTTGAATATATCCTTAATATTTAAGGATTAATTAAAACTTTCCTTTTCTTTTTTTATTTCCCTTTTTTTAATGCCTCCTGTGATTTTTTTTTTTTTCATGTGGGTCTAACTGTGAGGGCAGTTGGAGACTTCTCCAGCTTTCCCTGCATTTTGTGGTAAATTATTTTGGGCTGAAATATGCAGAGGTTATCAGCATTGAACTTCAAAAAAGCTGAGTGGTTCCATGTACCTTTATTTGTTTGATTTCATACCGGATCATTTTGTGGGTATCAAGGGGATCATCACTGGCAGGAACAACCTTTTCACTGGATATTTTTGCTCGGATCACTGGAAGAGAGAGAGAGAGAGAGAGAGAGAGAGATTTAAATGCACATGCGCAGATGACAATTTTACAAGCAAAAATGGAAATTATACTGATAGATTTTGGCATTGTTTTGACACTTCAGGTACAAGTAGATTTTAAAGATTTTACCATAAGAACACCAGCTGAGCTCCTGAAAACAAAAGTAAGTGGGATGTCTGTGATGTAAATCTGGAGTCCCAAGAATGTGGAAACCTGATTGATGTTACCACTCAGTTTTGACAAAAAATGTCCATCAAAAATCTCTGGAAGACTTGAATCCCGTAAAATTTGACAAAATACCCATCATTAAATCAGTGAGCAGAGGAAAGGGACATGTCTGTTGATTACAGAATTGTTGATCAAATAAATAGTCTCGAAATTAGCCCCTAAAAGCCTGTGCCAGGCAAGATGAAAGCATTGATTTCATGCATGAAATTAGAACAATAATCTTGTATTCATTTTTCTGGAGTTTAATAGAGCACCCATTAGTTGTGTTAACCTGTAGAAATCAATTACTCCCTGTTTGGAATTACTTAATTTATTTCCTGTTCTTTAATCAAGGAGAGTAGGAGATTTTATGAAAGAAGAAATGGATTCTTTTCCCCTCTCCTTGTTTGAGGCATCTCTCTTGTGTGTGATGTTTTAAATACACCAGGAATCTTTGGAAAAAATAAAATTAGACTGAATTGCTTGGTGCCACCAAGATAAAAGTATCAGAACACAGCCTGGATTTCAGCTGAGCAGAATTTTGTTTGGCACAACTATCAGAACATACCCATTTCCTCTTTGCTTTTCAGTTTAGTTATTGACCAGGAAGCACCATCAGAAGAACAAAAGTAATTTCTTTTCTATTCCATTTCTTATTTTCTGGATTAGATGTATAATAATAATTAAAACCACCTTAAAATTGCATATGTTTCCCTTTACAAGCAAAGCTAAAGACAATAAAAAAGCAGAGACATAGTAATATTCATTGTTTTATTGTGGTTCTAAAGTGGTTCTAAGAATATGGAGCATGGCCAAAATTCCTCTGGGGATTTTATCCCCCTAAATTAGTGAGAGCCCCACTTTTACTCTGTTCTGGATGGACACTGCTGCAGCTCCTGGGTTAGAGCAGCCTGTGCTTGGGGAGAGGCACTGGCAAAGCCAGAGCAGAGCAAAGTTTTGTGACATCAAAATTACACATTCCCCCCACAAAACTCCAATTTTTTACTAGATTTGCCTCATTTTTATCATATTTAACATTATGGTTAAGGCAAAGGAATAGGAAACCCAGCCTGAAACACAGCCAGGTGCAGGTCAGTCCCACCTAACCCTGGACAATTCCCATTTCCTCACTAATTAGCTGAGCAAACTGGATGGAATAATCAACATGTTAAATTATTGTCAAAATCAACATGTTAATTATTATTAAAGCTGCAGATGGCTGCAGCTTCCAAGCTCCAGCAGGATGCTCCCTCCTCCTGAGCCATCAAACCCTTCCCGAGGAGCATTTTGGACTGGTTGGGAGGAAAGAGTTCTTTTAAGTACAAGCAGCAAATTCCTCATTTCACATGGAAAGTGGCAGCATCTCTTTAATAATGTGCAGATGTGAACAACCCCACAAATTATCTGTGTGTCTGCAGTGCTCTG